TTTTTGACTTCACATTTTGTTGATATATTCATATTTAAAGGTATATTTTCAAATCTCAAGAATATTTTCTTGAGATTCAATATATATATATATATATATATATATATATTCTTAAGATATTTATAAGAATTATATATTCAATATATAACTCTTATAAATATCTCAAGAATATTTTCTCTCATTTGCTCTAAAGAAAAAGGTAATCCTTCTAGTATGTCTGTTCAGTTCAGTATTGCAAACGTACAAGAGTTATTTGCCTAAGGGGACGAAGGCTTTTTAAGGGAAACAGGTTCATATTAACGTTTCATATAATGAATGTAATGAAAATACTAATGCAGCCAAACCCCATTGTAATGATTTATCATTCGATGTCTCAGATAAGGTTGAACGTGATAAAAATTAATGAGTCAGAAATTTTACAAAATATGTGATAAAGACTTTTTCCCTGTTTTAAATATTAAAAATCTTTTATAATTAATGAAGTTTTTATTTTAATGGTTGATTTGATTTGGTTAATTGAGCACACAAGATGCAAAAGTGCTGAAGAATATACTACCTTCTTTATTGTTCTTAATTTGTTATGTTAAAATAGAACTTCTAGATGCATTTCAAAATTGAAAGTTAACTATCATTAGTTATTTTTAAATGTATTTCTGAAATTTTAAATGTATTTCTGAATTTGGCACTCCTCATAACATTTCACCCTTGTCTCTTTTGTTGTTATTTTAGTAAAAGATAAATCTCCATTTTACTCTTTCCTCAAAATTTTAAATCTGTCAACCAGTCAGTGAATGTCAGAATTTTGCACACACTGAAATGCAGATAAAGTAGGTTTTTAGACACCAATGCAGAATTAAGACCATCTAAGAAATGTAAAAATTTTTTTAATACAAAATCTGATGTGTTGGGTCATTGCAATATCATAAAAGAATGTGGCTGCAGATTTATTTTTTTTTTTTTTTTTTTTTTTTTAATGCTTGCATAATTTATAGCCAGCTACTAAATTAATATTGATGCTGAGAGTCACGAATTCGAAGTTTTGGGATGCCATAAGAAAAAGTGAAATATATATATATAATTTTTACATTCATGTTAATAGGATGAAAGCATCTTCTTACCTCTCTGCGTATCATCTGGCACCAATAATCATTTGTCAGACTGAAATGACTCTCATCAGTAAAGAGGACGTGTTCTCTACATCATTTTAAACAGTGCTACTATTGGTCTGCTGTCAGTGTTATGCAGCATTCAAGATGGTGGGCAAATAGGCCACCTTATAAGGTCATCTGACCACACTTGTTTTTTTTTTTTTTTTTTTTTTACACACTTGTTATCTGGTTTCCATTCTTAACTGCTGAGCAGCATTACTGGCTGCCTGATTTTGATCTCTTTTCACTTGCAGGGTGATATGTTGGTCAACAGTCATTGTTATTTTCCATGGCTGACCACCATCAACCATTCTGACAGCTGTACCTGACATTTGAAAGGCTTTCCAAGCTCGTAAAATGACACTTTTATCAGTCCCAAACTCTTGGGCAACAGACTTCAAACTATGCCCTTCCCCAAGCTTGCCAATCAATCTACTCGATGTAAAGGTGTCCTGATGCTTTCTTATAATACACATACAATCTCATTTCACTTTAAAAACATGCTTGGAAATGCAACCTTCCTTTCTTCTTTTTAAGTTGGCTTGCCCTATGCATGCTGACTGCTTGCATTTTGTGTGCCCTGACTTACTCTCTGATGTCATGGTGCTGATATTTGCATATGCATCGCTTTCCTGCTGAGTTGTCTTTTCATTGTACTGTTCTTAACCGCTTCCCTTACAAATTTTTTTGAAAAAAATTGCAAAAAATCATCAAATTTCTTTTATTTTATTATTAAAAACAACAAAATGAAACAAATCAAAATATGTAGATTTTAAGTTGAATTTTTAATTTTTTGAACGAGTAAAAGCATTTATTTTTAATATTAGATTACTATCCCGAGTTATCTCGGGCAAATGAAAAAAAAATTAAATACAGTCAAAAGTCGTTAATCCGGACTCGTCGAGACTTCGGCGATTCCGGATTATAGATCATCAGTTTAAATCGCGTAAGATGGCATGCAGAAATTCTAAAATTAAAAATATGAAACCATAATTTATGAAATAAAGAACAATTATGATCTAAAGGGTATCAAAATTTACAAAAAAAAGCTTAATATTTATTTGTTTGCTTTATTAAACATTTCTTTCAATGTCAGTTGTTTAAGTTGCTTCGTTTTATGTGATAATACTTTCTCTTTAATTCTATAAACAGACATAATTTTTTGTTCACTTACAAAGTTCCGCTGTTCAAGTCCCGTTAATTGCTGTGCCGAGAATACCGACTAACTTGTCAATCGAAATTTTTTCGTTTTCACTAACCTCTCTGTCACATTCTTCATGTCTTTATCCATTTTTTTCAGCAATTCCACTTTTTGTTTGATGGACATTGAAACATACTTTCGTTTTGTACGATCCTTTGGGAGCTCCAGAATCAAAAATTCTATTTGACATAATCGAAAGTTCAAGTTTACTTTTATAGTATTGCTCTTACAGTCTGCAAAAAATAATAAGCCGGATCCAATTCGAAAATTAAGGAACAACGCAATCATCAACATTAACTGAAATAGATAATTAGATAATTTTAGCTTACACCATCCGTTATACATAAAATGCGCACGCGAAAACGTATTCTGCGCTTGCGCACACGCAAATGCGCAGTCGTAAGAGGTCTTACACGCACGCGTAAACACCTATGAGCATGTGTCAACGTGCCGCATGCGCAGAAAGTTTTTAGCTTTGACTTCCGGATTATGCTTTGAGTTCCGGATTATAGATCATTCCGAATTATGGGTGTCCGAATTAACGACTTTTGACTGTATTAATCTTTGTATGATAGTTTTTGAAAAAAGGGACAACACAGAGTGATACCTGACATTCTACACTGGTATCTGGTCTCTTTTCTTACTGGCTTACCGCTGGAATCTCTTTCACAAGAGCACAGAGTACTCTGTCTCGTTGGATTTGAATTCCCCCCCCCTCCAACCTTTTCATAATCACTATCTGAAAAATCATCATTTTCGCTATCTTCCATCATCGCCATTATTTTATTTTTTTCCAACGTGTGCATCCTTCTTTATACATTACTAATCCACAAGCCAATGTATACTATACAATAGGAAAACACGCGACCAGTCCCTCCAAAAGAGCCGCGCAACCAACAAAATTTGGAAAACTGCCAATCAAAGCTGAATATTTCATTTCATTTCCTCCAGACCGAGTAAAACCGTGATAAAAGAAATCGCACTAACAAATTCTGCTTCGCCCGAGTTTTCTCGGGATAATAATTAACTGCAATATATACGAACTTGAGACAACTCGGGATAATCAGGCAAGCGGTTAAAAAGCTCTTTTCAAGTTTCATGGTTAGGTGTTGAAAAATCGATGTGCTGCTTAGGTTTCAGACACTAGTTTATGTACAACATATTATTTTTTATCACAAATTTTTGCTATGATTTTATTAAATATTATTTTAATTACTTTTTTAAAATTTATCTATTCTATTATGTAAATTTTATTCTATAAATAAGCACAAATCTTTAATCTTCATGTGATGATTTCTATTATAGGAATTTCTTTTTAGGTATTTAGCTAGCTATATATAAACATAAATTATAAAATAAAAATATTTTAACTCAGCATAAAAAATGCAACATCAGATTTTTCTATAAGTTGTGAAACTACATTGACTTTAAAAATTCCCTGTTTCAATGTTTTCAGACACAGAAACTTAGTAAAAGAAAAGATGAACTTTTTAATATGTTGAATTTTATCTAACTAGACATATTTTTGATGTACTCCAAGAAGCAAGTGATTTCTTTTTTCCATTCTTTTACTACATATATTTTACTTTTTAAGGAAATATATTCCTCTTTTATTAAGATTTTCATTTGGTTTCCAGAATTGGTTAATACTTAATTTTTTGTAAATATTTTAATTTTTACTACTCTAAACCCTTTAATAGTCTGAACTTGCTTAAGGTGAACACTCAGTTAACGTGAACAAAATTTTGGTCTCAGTAATCATTTAGAAAGTTCTATCAGTTAAGATGAATTTTGGTTGCCACAAATTGCTTTTTGTAGTCCGTTGTGTCATAATTATTTTTCATTTAGTATGAACTTTCAAAATTTTTCATATTTTTTCCATGTAGTTTCTCTGCTAGGGCTACATTCAGAAATATTCCATTTCATTTAATTGAAATCCTCATAGAATACACTGTATTCTTGAGTAACATTGTTCAATAGTCGCTACAAATCTTTGCAAAATCTACTTTGAGTTTTGAGGAACTTTTTAGTGCAGATGACGATGCTACCATGTGTACTCCTGTGGGGTCTGGTTTACAAGCGGTTTTGTTTGAGAAGCAAGAAGTGTCATCTGAACAAAAGGACAATATCATGCCACCCACCCACTAGGAAGTGTTATGCTCCTTGGACACTTTAGAACATTTTGCCACAGTGTTCAAATTGGCCACCAGTTTATGGAAGTCAAGAGTACATTTGGCAGGCAGGTTACCAGGCATTTTCATTCCTGTCTGCAGCAGTGCAATATACAGGAATATTTAAGTTCATCAGAAATGATCTGTGATAAGTTTCATCAGAAAATGATCTGTGATTATCTTTTTTAAAGTTACAGTACAGTAATTAATGTTTCATTCGGTAGTGTTTTCTGAGACAACATACATAATATATTGTAATGCATATATTCCTATGTGCTGTAAATGGTTAATGTGTAGGGGAAAAAACTGTTTCAAAAATAAAATTTGAGTCTCCTGTTAACACAAACTGTTGATTTTTGCTCCATTGGGATTTGTGTTAATGGGAGTTTACTGCATAAGCATGAGCAAATGTTATTTTTTCCGTTCTTAGTTGTTTAATGTTTTAATATTTATTAATTTTTGAATGCATTCTGATTTCAGATTAAAATATTTTTGCTGTTGTGCAGATGTGCCTGAAAGAGAGGATTCTATATTTGCAGATGTATCAAGGTTTCTTTCTTCTTTTCTTATTGTAAGTGTTTTGTTCATTATTTATCTACTTATTTAATGGTACTTATTTATCTACTTATTTAATGGTACTTATTTATCTACTTATTTAATGGCACATAATAAAAAAAAAAATATAAATAAACGTTGGTTTTAATTTTCTGTTTATTGAAATAAATTAATGTGAATTACATGAAATCTAACATTTGAATAGTGCATAGCAATATTTACATACTGCACTTCCTCGCATACTTCCCCCCTCTTGTATTTTTCCCTGCACATTTTTCGTATAAGGTTCTGAAATTTTTATAAGTATTCACATAATTTTCTCCTTCCTTCAAGGCATTCTGAAAGTAAGCTTTCTTTAAGTTTTAAAATGGAATCATCCACATAGTGATTGTTTTCATTTTACTAGTTGATTTGTTTGTGGATTCGGGGTGTATGGACTGTGATTAATGAAGCAATAATAGTGAAGAATTTGTAGAAAGCTGAGATATCTAATCCTTGTAATGGTTTTAAAGATCAGTGCATGGGAGAAGAAAAACTGAATGGTGATGAGGTTTACGATTTTTAAACTGTAACAGATGGCAAAGGCAGCAGTTCTAGCTTGAATGATTTGAGGTTAATGAGTAGTAGTAAGCAAAAATAAGAGCAGATGATATTCAAGATATAGAAAGTAACAATGAAGATGTCTTATTAAATATTGCTAAGGTTAATATTACTATGCAATTTTATTGGAATATAGGTTCGTTTTAAACAAATAATATCGTGACAATTGCTGGTAGTTTATTCATGAATATGTTTCAGTTGTTATATTCTTACTGTAATTGCATCATTTGAAATTAAATTATTCACGCGAGTTTTCCCTCGTGGTTTCCTTACGATTAAATGTAGTTCTACTTCACCAGTTTTTAGGAACAGCATTCTGGGGGGGCTAGTCCAAGGGTCTCCCACCCCTGCCACCTGCCACCAAATGAGAGGACTTTTGGCTCACTATATATTTAGAGTGCCCACATGTTGTAAAGACACTATACATTTACAGACATCCATCATGCCTTCTTTAGGATTTGAATCCAGGCCCTTTGGCACCACAGTAGGCTCCCCTAACCACTATGTTGTCTGGGTGGCCGAATACACATGTAAATATGGTATTTTAAATGCATTTTACACATATGTTTATAAATAAAATATGATTTGCATTCAGAATGAAGGCAATTTTATTCTCTAAAATTCAGTTAACTTTAGTTTATTGTTACGTTAGTCCATTATTTAACACTAGTTTATTGACATTTGTGATGAATCTTACATTTTTTTTTCCCTCTTTTTTAGTAATTTGTATTTTGCTTTTTCCTTTGCGTTAACTAGCATCAAAGATGTTATTAGTCTTTGTTTTCTTTGTTTTTTGTTTGTATTACTTTTCAAATAAATGAATATTGCCACCAAATATTACCACCGTGTATTCTTTTCGAAGAAATAAAATAACAAATATAAAGAAATGTGCAGCAGCACAAATAGAAGGGTGTTGCTTCATAATGTTATCTCCATGTATTTTTTTTTTTTTTAAGTAATATATCTAATGTAAAAAGAGTATGGCAACACTTAACATTCTGTCAAATAGCTACACAGTGTTTTTAAATATTTTGAGATTTTGCAAAAGCCACTAAATCATTACAGTGGTTAAACCTCTAGCAGCTACTTTATGCAAATCAGTTAAAACATTTATGCATGCCTTTGTGGAATTTAATACTGCAACAAAAGATTTGCTTGCAATAAAAAAATTTAAATATACTGGGTGGCCATAAGTAACTGACAGTGCTCACAGTGTTCTGTAGCGTGATCTGTTTGCGAGAATGACGCCACATTCTGTAGGAAGATTAAACAAGACGGGGGACGAAGGATTCCGCGAAAAAACAAATTAGTTCCAAAAGTTACCGCTAGGCACTGTGTAATAAAAAATAGAGTGTTAACAAATGCAAATTAATACGGAATAAAATTACCTTTTATTATGCACATTTTCTGATTTAGTTCAAGTGCAATATGGCAACACTTTTAAAAAAGCGTAAAATCTACATAAACACCAATAAAGTCTCGTGATCTGCAATATCGCATACGCTGAGCAGAAGTTTTTTATTTAAATTTCACGTTACATCCATTCGCACAGTGCCAGCTGCTTGGGTTTTAAAAGGCAATATGTTATGTTTCGAATGAATCAGATTGAATGTTTATCTGCAATGTCTCCTTCTTTAGTCGAGCGTGCGTTACTGGTCAAATTCTTTTACCTCAACCAGTGCAACGCGTCAGCTGCTCTTTGTGCTTTTAGAACACACAAAAAAATGCGTAAAGGTAACGGTCCTGTGTCGGTTAATGGGCTAAAAGCAATGGTTGCGACATTTGAGAAAACAGGTTCTCTGAAGGTTCAGTCAGGCAGAGGACGAAAACCTGTATTACAGGATACAATCAAAGCAGTTGCCACGGCGATTGTCGACAGAGAACCAGACAATATTGCTGCCACCTCTAGTGCGCGTGGAGTAGCTCGGAATATGGGTATGCTTTACAGTACGGTATGGAAAATCTTACAAAAGATAATCAACTTCTATCCGTACAAGATCAGTCGTGTACAGGAGTTACTGTACCGACCATGATAAGCGATTGACTTTTGCTCTCACTTTTCTTGCCAGAAGGGAGGTGGATGATGCTTGGCCGTGGAAAATCTTATGGGGAGACGAGACCTGAATGGAACTGTGAATACCCAGAACTGCCGAATTTGGGATGACAAATCACCACATGCAGTCACAGCAATTCCCTTACATTCACCAAAGGTAACTGTTTGGTGTGGGTTCACAGCAGAATTTATCGTACGTCCATTCTTCTATGAGAACATTACCCCGACAGGACCGGAAACCTGTTCTGTTACCGGAGAGAAATATCGCCACATGTTGAACAGCTTTGTCATTCCGGCACTTCAGCAAAGACAATGCCTGGGGAAAATCATTTTCTTGCAAGATGGAGCCCCTCCACACATTGCCGTACGGGTGCAACAGATGCTACGACAGAAATTCACAACAGAAAGAGTCATTAGCCACTACTTTCCAACTACATGGCCACCTCGGTCACCTGATCTTAACCCATGTGACTTCTGGCTATGGGGTTACCTTAAGTCCAAGGTCTATCAAGGAGTGCTCCAGGACCTGGCTACGTTGAAGGATGACATATCACGGACTGTACGGGAGATTCCTACAGACATGTTACTTTCTGCTGTTGTGCATACTGTGCACAGAATGCAATATGTGGTCCACAACAACGGCAGCCACATTGAACCTCATTTGAATGCAAAATAAAAGGTAATTTCCATATTGATTTGCATTTGTTAACACTCTATTTTCTATTACACAGCGCCAAATATTCCCCTAGCAGTGACTTTTGGAACTAATTTTTTTTTTCGCGGAATCTTTCGTCCCCCGTCTTGTTTAATCTTCCTACAAAATGTGGCGTCATTCTCGCAAATAGATCGCGCTACAGAACACTGTCAGTTTAATTATTTCCACCCAGTACATAAAGCTGCATGCTTAATACAGAGTTTAATATAATATTGAATGCTGGTGAATGTTTTGAGCTGCATGAGTGTTTTCATTATTTAGCAGTTTTATTATATGAAATTATTATCCATAAATTTTAAGAAGTGAGCCAAATGTGCGTATAAATATACTTATAGCTACTTTTAACTCTAATAATACTGTGAGCGTTTTTCTAATAAATCATTAGTTTATTAATTTACCTTTAAAAATATTATAGTTTAATGTGACGCATCACTTGTCTAGTAAACTGCTTTGTGCTTTAATTAGTATATGAAAGTAATCTGTTAGCATGGAATGCAGCATATTGTTCTAATGAATTAAATTTTTAATTTAATTACTGGCTTTAAAAATATCTGTAATGTTACTTATTTTTCTTAGTTAATTTTTAATTCATTCACTATCTATTCATTATTTTGAAATTGATAAATAATATTAATTATTCTAAATTTTAAAAAATTCATGTTTGCAGGATATCGATTTAGCACCTACTGATATTTTAGCTGGCTTGATAACCCTCGATTTGAAGCATGCCATAGAAAGACGAAGACAAAATATTAGTGGGATTTCTTTGCATAAAAATGAATTAATTGGTAAATGAATTTAAAGCTCTTGTCATTATTATTATTATTATTATTTTGTCTCTATGAATATACTGGTGCACATTGATTGTTGGTAAATGTTTAATTCTGACATTCATGTTTTAAAAAAATCACGAATTTTATAGCTTTAGCTGTGCTGCTTTACTAATGTTCAGTATCTGCTTGTGTTGTTAACAGAAAAAAAAATTTTTTTTCAAGTGAGTTATGAGATTTGTTTCAGAAACTTACAGATTTGCTTGTTTCAGCAAATAGAACTGCCCCTGAGTGGATGACTCCTGAGAATGCTTTATACTTTCTAAGACTAGCGAAAAGCACCTATGGGTGGCTAGCATTCTTTGATGCTTTCCGTCCGTGGAATATTTGTACTCTTTCATCTCCTTCAAAGTAAGTAGAATTTTTCAGGTCGGAAATTCTGCACATTTGTTCTGTAATGTTTATTTGGTACTATCACATTATCAGCCGAGAACTTCTGCAAAGTTGCCAATCATTGGTTATTAATTTTTCACCAACCTAACATGTGAAAAAAACAGTAGCCCTTTTTAAAAATGGGAGTACACTGAAAAATTACATGAAACAGCAACAAATTATCAAAATTAAAAGTGCAAGAAACATCTATAATGAAACCCTGAAAATTACATGAATAACATCTATAGTGAAACACTGAAAATTACATAAAACAAGAACAAATTAACTAAATTAAAATTACAACAAACATGCATATAAAGCAGCTAATTTTCATTTTTCCTGGTCTTCTGCTCATGTGCATAACACTATGATTTAACTTGAGAAAACTTCAGAAAATTGTAAAATTCTTGGCATTGCAGAACAACTTGGTGCTGCTGTCCATTACACTTCAACCTGTTTTAACTAAAAAAACAAATCACAGAATTACATTTATTTGGGGAAAACTATTACCACAATCACTTAAGAATATAAATTATTTTTGAGCTGCAGGAGTTCTGTAATAGTGTAATATCAGACAAAAGTAAAAGCTAACCAAATCCATAATTTTATATGCATTTTATTACTTTAACAATAATAATTCCATTTGTACAGCCAGTGGATACTGTTCAGCTATCTGCTTTATAATCTGTTAAAAAATTCCATTTGCTCGTTTTCATCAAATGAATTTTCCAAGGTAACTCGGACAGTTCTATCATTTGTAAAATACTACTTCATGGGATATGCATTTCTACTGCTAGGCGAAACCTCCACAGATTAATCATAAGCAAAAACCGCAAACATAACCCTTAATATCCAAAACCACATGCATTTAGTGAGTTGTCAGATAAAATATATTTGCCTAAAAGTCTGGATTGTCTACTTCAACACAGCACTTTGCCCAATTACAGTTGAATGGATAATGTAATAGTATTGTTTATCTTAACTGTGTTTAATATGAATATGGGTAATCATACTTTCATAACTCATGATTCAAATATTTATAATTGTTAGTATTTTTAACTGTGTGATACCAAATTTATTTTTTTTATTAATAACTCTAGAGCTCTGTATAATTTTTCTGTTGTAACAATCATATAACTTTTTGAATTTTTAGTTTTTATTTATTGACTAATAAGACACCTAGAATGAAAGTGAAGGCTTTGATTTTTATAATATTTTTGTGTCAGTGTTTTTACTTTGATTATTCTGTGTCTGCCAGCATTTTTACATTTATTTATTTAATTCAGAAGTCAAACAACAAAAATCAGCGTTATATTTACCAAATTTTCACAGGACTAGTTTCGATGGTTTTACCGAACCACCATCTTCAGCTGCAAAACCGCAAATGAACCAGATAGGAAATAATGATTAGATAAGATAAGAAAGCCTGGACAAGAATAAGCAAGTGGCGCCATCTGTTGGTGAAACCAGAACTAAAACATAATTTCTTTAAAGGCCGAAGGCAAATTTGGATTGGAATTAGGATCGTTAACTAGAACAGAAAGATTTTTATGAATGTGAAATGCCTCTAGAAATCCAGTTCTCCAATGGAAGATGTTTTTTGAATAATTTTGGCAGCAGAAAAACTGAAAGTGTGGTTTTCGGACCAACAATGTTGAGCAACAGAAGACTTCTGTGTTTCCTTTTTTTCTAACATATGCCTCATGTTCCTTGACGCGAAATTTTAAGGCTCTCTTAGTTTGGCCAATGTAAATTAAACCACACTGGCAAGGAATCCTATAAATACCCCAGGAATTCATATCCGAATGGGGTCCTTGAGTATGGAACTCGGAATTTTATTGATGGGAGAATAAACAACCCAAAAGTTAAATTTCTGCAAAATATGTGCAACTTTATAGCTAATTGATGGAAAGAAGGGAATGACAACAGAATTTGAATAATCTCCTAAAACAAGAGTGGGCCTTTTAGTGTGTTGAGATGAGAATTTTTTAACTGCTTGATTAATAATGTTGGGTGGAAAGCCCCTGTCAATAGCTATTGCTTTTAAATAATTTAGTTCTTCATCAAGGGCTAGTTTGGAGGAGCAAACTTGAAGAGCACGGAAAACATAGGAATAAAATGAAGCTAACTTTTGTTTAGTCGGATGACATGATTTAAAGTGTGGTGGAAGCAAACCGATTACGTGTGACCAGAATGTCGAGAAACGGAAGGAAATTGCAAGTCTCAAGTTCAAAAGTGAACTGAATAGCAGGATCAATAGAATTCATTGTTGAAAGAACTTTATTTAAATCATCTTTATTACCTTCAAACAGAGTAAAAGTATCGTCTACGTAGCGGAACCATGCCGGGAAGTTTAAAGTTTCAAACAATTTTGATTCATAATAATGCATGTAGATATCAGCCAGGATGGGACTGAGGGGGCTTCCCATGGCTAATCCCTCAGTTTGCTTGTAATATTTATTTTGGAAAACAAAATGTGTTTGTTTCAAACAGAGTTGAGTGAGAGAAATTAGCTCATCAATTTCGATGCAAGAAATGAAATTCGCGAAGTCTGGTTTCTAGACATCTTAATGCACCCTCCACTGGGGACATTGGTGAATAATGATTTTACATCAAAGAAACCATGAGTAAATTACTAGGAGAAATGTTTTTAACTTTTTTTTACAAACTCTATTGAATTTTTTATGGTGTAAATGTTATTGTCTAATAAAGTTGGAAAATCTAGAAACTAAATATTTAGCTAATGGATACGAGCAGCAGTACCTAAATTTGATACAATAGGGCGGAAAGGAATACCACTTTTATGAATTTTGGGAAGAGCATATATCTGGCACAATTCGCAACAGATGGGATAAGTGAATGTTTTTAAGTTGCCTGAAATGATTTGCGAAGATTTGATCGCAGTTTTTATTTTTGACAAGTCGGAAGGTGAAGGATCTTTAGGGATTGGATTATATGGTCCTTCGTTTAAGAGTTTTAGTGACACCATCGATGTAAGTGTTCCTATCCATGACGACTATCTGGCCACCTTTGTCGGCCTTTGAAATAATATCCGGATTAGAATGAAATTTCACGCAATGTAGCTCTTTTCTCTCGCAGTTAGATTTGGTTCAAAGGTTTATTATTGAATTTCACATAATGAGCGATAAGATGCCTAATCATTTCTTTCTGTGAATCTGAAACTTTACTGAACTTGAAAGCTTTTTCGATAGGAGCCAAAATCTTTGGAATCGAGGGTTTACAGGTTTGTGAGAAGTTAAAATTATATTTTAGAATTCTCTCTTGTTCTTCTGAAAGGAACACTTACATCGATGGTGTCACTAAACTCTTAAACGAAGGACCATATAATCCGATCCCTAAAGATCCTTCACCTTCGGACTTGTCATAAATAAAAACTGCGATTAAATCTTCGCAAATCATTTCAGGCAACTTAAAACATTCACTTATCCCATCTGTTGCGAATTGTGCCAGATTATATGCTCTTCCAAAATTCATAAAAGTGGTATTCCTTTCCACCCTATTGTATCAAATTTAGGTACTGCCTCGTATCCATTAGCTAAATATTTAGTTTCTAGATTTTCAACTTTATTAGACAATAACATTTACACCATAAAAAATTCAATAGAGTTTGTAAAAAAAGTTAAAAACATTCTCCTAGTAATTTACTCATGGTTTTTTTTGATGTAAAAATCATTATTCACCAATGTCCCAGTGGAGGGGTGCATTAAGATGTCTAGAAACCAGACTTCGCGAATTTCATTTCTCTTGCATCGAAATTGATGAGCTAATTTCTCTCACTCAACTCTGTTTGAAACAACACATTTTGTTTTCCAAAATAAATATTACAAGCAAACTGAGGGATTAGCCATGGGAAGCCCCCTCAGTCCCATCCTGGCTGATATCTACATGCATTATTATGAATCAAAATTGTTTGAAACTTTAAACTTCCCGGCATGGTTCCACTACGTTGACGATACTTTTACTCTGTTTGAAGGTAATAAAGATGATTTAAATAAAGTTCTTTCAACAATGAATTCTATTGATCCTGCTATTCAGTTCACTTTTGAACTTGAGACTTGCAATTCTCTTCCATTTCTCGACATTCTGGTCACACGTAACACATCCAGCATCAGTACTACGGTTTACCGTAAACCTTCATCGGTTTGCCTTCCACCACACTTTAAATCATGTCATTCGACTAAACAAAAGTTAGCTTCATTTTATTCCTATGTTTTCCGTGCTCTTCAAGTTTGCTCCTCCAAACTAGCCCTTGATGAAGAACTAAATTATTTAAAAGCAATAGCTATTGACAGGGGCTTTCCACCCAACATTATTAATCAAGCAGTTAAAAATTCTCATCTCAACACACTACTAAAGGCACACTCTTGTTTTAGGAGATTATAAAAGTTCTGTTGTCATTCCCTTTTTTCCATCAATTAGCTAAAAAGTTGCACATATTTTTCAGAAATTTAACTTTCGGGTTGTTTATTCTCCCATCAATAAAATTCCGAGTTCCATACTCAAGGACCCCATTCCGGGTATGAATTCCTGGGGTATTTATAGGATTCCTTGCCAGTGTGGTTTAATTTACATTGGCCAAACTAAGAGAGCCTTAAAATTTCGCGTCATGGAACATGAGGCATATGTTAGAAAAAAGGAAACACAGAAGTCTTCTGTTGCTCAACATTGTTGGTCCGAAAACCACCACTTTCAGTTTTTTCTGCTGCCAAAATTATTCAAAAAACATCTTCCATTGGAGAACTGGATTTTCTAGAGGCATTTCACATTCATAAAAATCTTTCTGTTCTAGTTAACAATCCTAATTCCAATCCAAATTTGCCTTCGGCCTTTAAAGAATTATTAGTTTTAGTTCTGGTTTCACCAACAGATGGCGCCACTTGCTTATTCTTGTCCAGGCTTTCTTATCTTATCTAATCATTATTTCCTATCTGGTTCATTTGCGGTTTTGCAGCTGAAGATGGTGGTTCGGTAAAACCATCGAAACTAGTCCTGTGAAAATTTGGTAAATATAACGCTGATTTTTGTTGTTTGACTTCTGAATTAGTATTTATTTGGCGTGTTATTGTGTCTTATTTATTTATTTGCTCATGATGGTAGTAGCAGGAATATTATCTACTAATAAGACATAGGATCATTATGCATATTGTATAAACATTAAATTTATCTCAGGTGTCCAATGAAAAAAATTAAATTTATTATTATAAAAAATTGAACGCAAATTATTTAAGCTCTATATGTATCTTCAGACTTGTTTATCAGCAATAAGCAAGTTTGTTGTCATTCCATGTCGTCTTGGTGGTTACCATCCATGATTTAGCCCTTGAAATTTCTGAACTGGAATTTTTTTTATGAGGTGGAGTAGTTAGCCCCATACCTAACCCCCAACCTGAAGGACCAGGGGGTTAATATAATCCCCATTGGCAGGATGCCCGGCTATACTCCCGGATGCTGGGTACTAATTTTAGTTGCCTTTTACAACATACATGAACTACATTGGAACTATTCTTTCACATCCGTTCACCACACAGATATGTGTTTGTTAATTTTAAATCATTCAGTTTTTTAAGCATTTATAATTTGATACCTAAGTCTTATGTCATGTAAATGACAGCACTCTGGAAATTAGCAGTTTGCCAGGTCACATAGAAACATATGCAAAGTTGCATTAATGATAACTAGCATGGAAAGATTATTGTTACCATGTTATATATCACGAATAAAAGACCAAAAAGTTTTTAGACTTTGTTGTAGACATTTATAAAAAAATTTGTAACAAACCAAATATTTCCATTTGCAAGTAGAAGCCTAAAACTAAGATTAGGGGCTTTAAAGTAATTAAAAATAATGTGTAAAATTTAGTTAGTAATAGCTCTTATATTCAACCCTTCAAAAGAGAAAATTGCTGAAGATGCATAATATATTTCTTCTCTATATTTTTTATTAAAATTAGTAGTACTTGCGTAGTATCCTACTGATCGTGAATATGTCACCAAGCAATGCAATTAAGGGCCAGTTATGGATGAGAGTAACATAACAGCACATTCATAGCATTTTTACTTTCATTTGATATAACTCTGATTCTTGATAAGCCATGTTGTTTTTTAAACAAGGATCTAAATTAACTCTTATTGCCATACTCTTTTTCTGCTTTGCATTTTGAAAAAAAATTGATTGAAATTAAGTATCTGCCTTCTACAGAACAGCAAGCAGTGGATTATTTTCAATGTTATCTAATCCTGCCATTAAAAAAAAGTGTGAATTTGAAGAATTAGAAAGTGAACATAATGCGATGACCTGAGTATGGCAGACAAAATAGTCATAGATTGGAACAACTATCTGCAAGAAGTCAGCATTCTAAATAGAGCTTAAAATCAAAGGGCCTAAGAAAAATAATAGTAGAAATTGACAAAAGCCTTTTTTATGAGGTGTAAAAGAAAGTGTGTTAAATACTGATTGTTTATCAAATAAAGAAGCATAAATTCCTTTAGAATTCCACAAGAATGCTTGGTGAAATTTTGGTGGGATCTCAAGCTAGTTTTCACAGTTTGTCGTTAGCCCACTGTCATTGTTGCTGGCATAATATATAAGTATTAAATTATTCTTGCTCTAGTTTTCTAAAGGAAGTGTATTAAACATAATAATTTTTCATTACAAAATAAATTTGTGATCAATTTTGCCTGTGTATATCATGATCTGTATATCATTAGTTTTTGTTGAGGAAATATAAAAGTTTTGTTGTAATTTGAGTATTATCTAAAATTAAAAATGTAACTAAATTTTGGTAGTTATGTTGTAAATAACAATAGTCAATAATTAGTCAATAAATAAAATACTTTAACGGATCCAGTTTGCAATATTTTCTAAACTATTACTTACTTTCAGGTGCTGCATGCAAGATAGTGCAATTGTGATAGATAACTGTTGTCAGTGTAATGCTGTAGCCGTACAAAAAATTACAGGCTTCTCAGACTCGGATATTTTATATGCTTCATTCCGAAATTCTGCAGAAGAGCCAGCATTTTACATTGCTGTGGATCATCAGACAAAATACATCATAGTTGCTATTTGTGGGTCAAGATCATTTTCTGACTTACTTACTGTGATTAATGGAGAAGAACAAGATTTTCCATTAAAGGATTCACCCTCTAATTATAAGTGTCATCGAGGTGTACTGAGTAGTGCATTATTTTTGCAGAAGAAATTGAATGATCTAAATGTTTTAAATGTTGCTGTGGCTGAAAATCCTTCTTATAATATTGGTATTACTGGACATAGCCTAGGAGGTAGTATTGCAGCTGTTTTAGGTCTTATCCTTCATCCACAATATCCAAAGCTACAATGTTTTGTTTTTGCACCACTGGCTGTACTTACAGCAGGAGTAGTGCCAGACACACTTGATTTTGTGTTTACTGTTGTTGTTGGTGACGATATTGTTCCTCGACTCTGTGCTAATTCATGCAAAGAACTACGAATGGAAATTATAAAATCATTGGAGGAAACTAAAATTCCAAAGGTTAGTATGTCTGTAATAATGTAATAGTTTCAATCTTGCAAAAAAAAGAATAACTTTTAGTTACTTCTTGAAAATTACACATGAAGTGGTATGTAACATGAATTATTCTGTTTATAATGAAACAAGTGATTCTACTTACTTTGTTTTAAAAAGGCTTGTAATTTTGAATTATTTTTAAATTTTTCAAGTGAAGTTTCCTGTAGTTTTCATGTTTAAAATAGAAAAAGTTTTCAAAGAATTTTTTGAAAACACTAGGAACTTCCTATTGTCCAAATGATTGTGGTTTTTGATAAATTTTAAACAAGTCTTGAAGATCTGATTATAATTCAGTCGATTTATTGCTCTAATAAATGTCTGTCTGTAAGTTTTCTTTAAATGGTACATTTATAATGCTAATTTCTCTCATTTCCACTTGTATAAAAACAGTGAGATGTTTTTAAAATATAATAAAAAATATTTGATTACATGTTCTAATTTAAATGTTCGAACTAAAAATTTTGAGGAGGGCTAAATAGGTTGCTGTGGGATTTAATAACTTTTTATTTGTGTTAGAATTTGTTTGTATGAATATATAGTTGAACCCCTCCATAACAAATTTTAAGAGACTGAATGATTAGTTTCTATGTCCTGTGATTCATGTCCAAACTAATAAGAAACAAATAGATCATCTCTGAATATAATGTAAAAATATATGGATGAATCGCATAAAAAGAGTGATTAGCATTATCAAAATACTTAAATGAAGTTAATACAGTACAAAGTCCTTAATCCAGACTTGTTGGGATTTCGGCGATTACGGATTAGAGGTTTTCCCGGATTACATATCATCAATTTATATCTGGTAAGATGGCATGCAGAAATAATACAATTAAAAATTTGAAACCGTAATTTATGAAATAAAGAGCAATCATGAACTAAAGGGTATCAAAATTTACAAAAAAAAAAAAAAAAAAAAAAAGCTTAATATTTATTTGTTTAATTTAGTAAACATTTCTATCAATGTAAGTTGTTTAAGTTGCTTTGTTTTTTGTGCTAATACTTTCTCTTTAATTCTATAAACAGACATAATTTCTTGTTCAGTTACAAAGTTCCACTGTTCAAGTCCTGTAATTGCTGTGTCGAAAATACCGACTAACTTGTCAATTGAAATTTTTTCGTTTTCAATAACATTCTCTGTTACTTTCTTCACTATCGGAAGCGCTCATGAATAAATGCTTTACTGGCTTTGCACGCATGCGTAGTGGACACGCGCATCAAATGCCCATGCGTAAACGCTTTACGTGCATACGTAAGTTTGTGGCTTTGAGGTCCGGATTATAGATCATTCCGGATAATGAACGTCAGGATTAGAGACTTTGTACTGTATCAACTTTAACTTTAAAAATAATTGTATCAGAATTTAATTACCATTATTATCACAGATAATTACTAATTTTTTCAATGCATTTCAATTTCATCATATATTAATATTTTTATATATACATTACTTAGTATGAAAGTCATGATTAAGATCAGTGGTTCTCAGCAGGGTTATTACCACCTACTGATGGGTAGTGAAGAGTTCTAAGGAGGCATTTTGGGTAAATTAAAGTATTGCTGAGGATTAAATTCTATCCCCTTGGGTAATACTCACTAGAACATGCTAAAAGGTTTGATTATTACTAAACAATCATTGAACATATAGTTCAGTAAATAATTCTAAATGTCTTTGTAACCCTTATAAAGCAAAGCACTTTGCCTATATGCTTAAAATACCAAAATGCCTGAAATTCCATTTGAAATCCATAATTAACTCCCCTTTTCCATTAACAAGCTAAGAGGATTTGAAGATTCAAATGATATCAATTCTAGTTGCATTCTATTGCATGGTAGAAAACAGACCATGCCAAATTCAACTATTCAGGTGGAGCACAGTATGAGCATTGCACCACATTGAGCACCATAGGGTGTATATATTCTGGGTAGATCAACAAAATTTATATTTTTAAGTTTTGCACATATCACTAGTATCAACAGCAAATTGCTGATGACAAATATGACACCAAATATAAAAAATTTAATGTTGTTGCATCAAGTTCAGCCCTCTCACTAATAATATTCCATTAATTTTTTCTGATATGTATATGTAAATCAAACTTTCAGTAACATGCTAGTATGTTAATATCTTTTAATAAAGTAATTTTAAAAATCACTTTTTGTTTTTCAATATATAATATATTATACTTCACTTAAGAGAGGCACTATCGAATCACTGTTTGAAAAAATGGGCTATGACTGGAAAAAGTCCAAAAACTGTAGGTTATGTAACTTGCATGTTATTGCTACCACCTTACTAGAAGTAGCCAAACTCTTTCAAACATGCAGATAACCATTCTTCATGCAACCATGCTTATAACACTTCTTCAGTCAAACAGTGTCACCACTTTTGTATGCATTCATTTTGTATTCCAAGATCCAATTGTGTGGTGTCTTCGTTTTGAAGTGTTGAGTCATTTAATTTACAGTAGTTTTTTTTATTATTATTATTTTTTTAAAACAATAACAAACGTGATTCAAATAAATATTAAATATCATATGCGGCACAGTACTGGATCAATCTATACATCTGATCATATCATCATTCCGTTTTGTTCTAACTGTATTTTCCCCCCGCCGCGGGAAAAGCCAACATCAGTTTATCCCTTTAGGTAATTTTAGTTGGAACATCCTCTGCCCGCGACGAAGGCATTTATCATAAATTCAAACTCTTAAAATAAAATAGTACATCTTATACTTTTACAAAACTTGTAGCATACAACATAGCATGAATACATTATATATAAGGGACATTTTCATCATACTATCTACTGCTATACATTTTATCTTGCTAACTACCACAAGCTAAATGCAAATAGAAAAGAAAAAAAGTTATCATCAAACAATAACTAACACAAATAACGAATTTCAGTTACTAAAGAAATACTAAATAGATACCTGAAAATTCTGAAAACAATCATTCATCAATCTTTCCAAGTTCCAAATGATATAGCATTTTGATAAGCCCTTTTATTACACCTGAAAAGTTTTCTCTGTGATGCTTCTTATCTCGTTATCATGGCCTCTATGAAACTCCATCACCTTTCCCAGCTTCCACAGCTGCCGAGGTATTTTGTCATCCCCAATCAAAACTACATCATTTACATTAAAATCGTGATTACATTAACAGGTTTGAAACAATTTGCACCTTTTAATTGGAGAAGATACTCTCTTTTCCATCGTCTCCAAAAATCATTTAAATTTTCTCCCGATACAAATATCTTTTAATTTAAATCCTTTTGTTACTTGCAATATGTTCTTTAACATGACCAGCCTGGTGCGGTAAGGATGTTAACTTTTTTCCAGTTAGGAAATGAGCAGGAGTGAGAGGGAATGGCTCTGATAGATTGTTGTAAATGTAAGTAAGTGGTCTAGAAGTTAGAATAGATTCTATTTCTGTCAAAATGGTTTGTAATTCTTCAAAGGAAACTAAAGTTTTTCTAGTACTTTTCTTAAAATACCTTTTGTCATCTTCACCATTCTCTCCCAGTATCCACCACACCAGGCTGCTCCTTCGACAATAAAATGCCATCTTATTCCTTTTGTACCAAAATAATTTTGTGCAGATGGATCAACGATATTTGCATGTCAATACAATGATTATACTCTTGAAACAGAGTGATGCTTTATACATATTCTATAAATGCTGTTAATATTTTTTATATGTATTCTCTTTATTGATCAGAATAGCTGTTACATTACTTTAAGATCAGAAAGAGGAAACGATTTCCAACATTATTCTTCCAACCTGCTGACCACTTAAGGAATTCATTCCATCTTGAAAATGTAATTCATTAAACTAATTATAATATATTAATTATATAAATTTATGAAATGTAGAAGTGACTTCCTGTTAACATTATTCTCTTGGCTTTATTTTATATGATCTTCTCATTAGTTTGTGATGAATAATTTTATTAAAAAAAGGGGGGGCAAGATCTGTGGTTTCATTTTACAAGATATTATATTTATTAAAAGTACATATAATATAAAAACTATTGAATAAAAACATTGAAAATCATTTTTGTGTTCTGATTGATCAATATCAAATTTATAATTAGTTATAGATAATTTAATTTTCTCTTTCAGTTTTTCTGTTATTTCATAATTTAATACAAAGAAGGCTTATTTATTTTGTTTTTAGTATAAAATCATTACAAGTGCTTTCTGGCAGTATCTAAAGAAGTTCTTCAAGGCATCAGCTAAAAAAGTTGTAACAGAAATTTATGAGAATAAAGAATGTGAAATAGATGAAGAAAATCCATATGTGGTAAATAGCTACACTTTCATTTGCTTGCATTTATAAATTTAGAAATAGAATGTTTATGCATAAATGACTTTTAATAAATAAGTGGGAGAAAGTGGAGTTAAATTAATCCAATATGACTCTTTAAATTAAAATATTATAATTTTGATTAAATAAATGGAAATTGATTCTAATTCCCTAGATGCCAGTTTAAATCCTAAAAGTTGTAATAAATTTATATCTTGTAGGATGGATGTGCAAATCAATGCAAAAAAATTTCATGATTTTTTGTAAGAAACGATGTTTATTTGCATACGTATGTTATGTAACCAAATCATCGTTTTGTATAATGAGAAATATTTAATCTTGTCTGTAATATCTATTTCTTTAACACCCTATATGCAAATTAAACAGAAATTGAAAAGATTTCAACTTCTGTAGCCATCCCAGATGGAATGATAATTAACACAGGCTGGCAGAATTCCATGGCATGTTTAAATTCCAGGTAAAGCAGAGTTGTTTGTGATTATGATGTCTTTGGGACATGGAGATACTTAAAATTTGTTGAATTGTCTCTAGATTTTGATGGTAGAGGAAGAGGGATGTAAGACCCTGGGACTTCATTTCCCAGCATTAAAATTAGTATGGGGCTCAAAAATGATCTGCTTGAATTAAATAGTTCAGCAGAAAGGGTTATGTACATATATTTTTATTTATTTATTTATTTATGTTTATTATTTCTGCTTAAAAGCCGCATAGTTTGAGTATGTAATTTGTCGACTGCTAATTTGTAGAAAAAATAAAAGATCTTATGTCACATGAAGGAGCACTGTGAATGTATTCATATGTTTGAAAAAATTAATGCGAACTTTCAGATGTTTTTTAAAAAAATTACTCCATCATGAAAGCAAATTAAAATGTGCATTTTATCCTAAATTCTGTCTATCTGCTTTAATATCATTCTGTCTGTCCAGTACTATTAAATATAAAATATTATTTCGTCTAATTATTATATATATATATATATTTACTGATAAATATAAATGAAGCAATACAAAAACTTATAATTTTTTATTGAATTATACTTCTGATGCATCTCTGCTTGTGAAAGATCGTGTATTGCCAAAAGTGTTTTCTTTACCTTCCAAAGGAAATACTTTGTGTTTTAACTTTTCAAAAGTCAGAATTAAATTACTAATTTACTATCAAGTTTTGCACCCCTTCCCATGTTTGCCCATGGTCTGTTCTGTTGAAAATCAATTATTTCTTTTCTTTCCCCATCTGTAATATTGCTTAATTAAATAAGATGTGACTACTACAGCTGCAAGAAATGATGCTTACCTCTCTTAATCTTAAGTCTTTTTTAAGAAAAGATTTTGTCTCTAAGCACACTGTGTAACTCTTTGATATATTTAAATCCCCAACATCTAGTTTGCTAATCTCCTAAATGTTTCATGTTTAACAATTTCTGCATTAAAAAAAAAAAAAAAAAAAAAGCCTTCTTCTCACAGCAAGTAAATGCCAGAATATTAATAAATAATCTACTGAACCGTAATGTTTATTTCTGCCTTAGAGCTTTACAGTGTACTACCATTGTTCATTTGGAATTACATTGTAGATGTCAGTGGCTGTATATGACTGAACAATTTAGAAACATGAATAATTCCTGTTATATTGCTACAATATAATTCTGAACAGATCCATAGCTAGAGTTTTCAATGACTAGAAACAACTGAAGATATCGCCTCCCCCCCCATTCCATTTGCCTAGAATGGGAAAGCATTTAACTCCGAAATTTCATAATATAAATTTGGCACCCTCTGGATGCTGCACCTGGGGATATATCTCCCTTTGCTTCCCTAGTATCTGTGCCACTGATTTTCGATACATTCTTTCAAGGTTTTACAAGATGGTTTGTTTTGGAATAGGTTACAGTTTCTATACTGTGTCTTTGCAGTTCATTTTGTTGGTGTATTTATAACAAGTGTTCTCTATGAATGAAAATTTTAATTTGCATTTCCTATGTGAGTAAGGTAAGATGAAGGATTTAAATTCACTGTATCCAGACTTCATTAATTTATTTAGAAATGTTATTCAGATTAATATGTGTCAAATATTCTTCCAAAGTATCAAAAAAAATTTATATATTGTAAAAATAATATTTGTATTCAAAACTGTCAGAAATTTTTTCATTACGTATTTAGCAAACAACAAGCCAAGCAATATCCAGTGACTCTCACCTCTATGCTCCTGGGCGCATACTATATTTTGAAAAGGGAAATAGGTATGAGACAAAAATATTCCATTAAGTTATGCAATTCAATTAGTTATTAGTTTTAGAACTACCTTCCATACTTCAAAATTTACTTTAAATTCTCAAGCAATTCATTTATTTCATTGTTTTAAGAAATAAATTTTCTCTTTTGTATGACCCCATAAGAATTTTATAACAATGGAATATTTCTAATCTTTTTTAGGTGGAAATCTCATTGGTTGACTGGTTTTGACATCAATAACATATTCATCAGTCGTGCTATTTTTGAACATCATCAGCCACATAAAATACAGAACATGCTTGAAATGTATATTAAAGGGCAAATAGATTAGATTTTACCAGAGATTGATGATTTTTATATATATGTGGGAAATTAGTGATAATTATTGTAGTGTAAATACAATATTTTTATATAATGCAATTCAACATCTAATTCAGAATTTTTAAATTTATTTGGTTGAGCTGGATATTGTTTTCATGCAACTTATATTTTTTAAAATTTAAATAAATATTGATGGCATTGTTTGATTTAAGGGAAACTTCTACAAAAGAAAACTGTATAAAAAGTTAGATTTCTGGGGAGGAGGAATTTATATGTATATATTGTATATACAGAGAGAGAGAATTTTTGTGGGAGAAAAACTTGTATAAGAACTTGAATGAATCTATTATGTTACTGTTCGTCGCTAATAAATTTTTGTTTCCAAATTATTCCAATACATTTACTTAGTACCTAAGCATACTGGTTAGAGAAAAATTGTAATGTTATTAAATAATCAAGATCATCTGTTATGTAATAGTTAATTTTTTATTTTATATGTTTCAAAAATGTTTAATGTATACAAACTACAAATTTTAAAGTACAGTGCGTAGACCTAAGGATTCCTCATAAAGAATTTTTCATTGCTTCATCAAAAATCGATATTCTAAATTTTTCTCAACCTTGCTGATTATTTGTTCTGTGGTCATATGCTTATTAGTACTAATGCATAAATCTGTATTCTTTCTCAATGTTTCAAGGTACATTATTTCTGAGGAAAGAAAACTGCTGTCTGTGCATTGTTTTTTAAATCTTTTTTAAAAAAGATAATTCTTTAAAAAAAACATTCTAGAAGCTATTAGTCACCTCATTATAATTTGGTAATTAGGTAGCTTTATTTGAATCCTGGGGGAAAAGTGTAATTTTCGGGGTGGTTAGGGTTATTTTCATTCTGCAAGTGCTTTGTTGAGGTTTAAATTAACATACTGTATTCATGGATATACATGTACTGTTTTTCTTTTATTTATCCACAATAATGCATATTAGCATTCCAAAATGATTCTTTTTTGTCCTTTTTGCCACGATAGCACATTTCTGCATTCTAAATTTTACTTAGGATTTCCTAATACTTTAAAATTTCCTTTAATTTTCTCTGTTACTATACTGAATTATATATGATCTGTTTTAAATATTCTTGTTTATTTTCCAAAGTGAATTGAGATGGCCTGCCTTATGGTATGAGTTGAAACTGGCAAAATTCTTTGGGCCAGTGAAGTAGCTCTTTGTCGAGCCTGCTATGCCTGGTTATTATAGAATAGTGTTAAGGCTACCATCCCACAGTTACACTAAGCTGCAAGTACAGATACAAAGTTTATTTAGTACTTGATGGGTTTTTTTTTTTTTTTTTTTTTTTTTTTTTTTCTTTGATTACATTTGGAAATTATTGTTTACAAGTTTCCATACTCGGTATTGAAACAGATTACTGTATTTTGCTGATAATGCAACTGTTTCTTAATATATATTTCCTTAAAAGTTGTCGGTCTCATTCCCTCCAAGTAGAGCTGATGGTAGGCATTTTGCTGCTAGATGCAATCTCTGAGGGTCCTAAATTTTCCTGTTCAGGGCCTCCCTAAATTTTAAAACTTTTGCCTCCCTTAAATTCTGCTGTCCAGTATTTCTCCTAAATTCTAAAAATTTTGCCATCCCTAAATTTTGCTGCTGTTTATTTTTCCTAGTTCTAAAACTTCTGCAGTTCTTAAATTCTATTGCCCGGTGAAGCTAGACCGACTGCAGCAGCTTTGGCGTCGACCCAGCCTCGAAATGAGGATTTAAGTGCTTCAGTAGTAGAAATTGTGGTTTTAATTATTCTGAGAGTTAAAAATGTTCCGAATGTAGTTAACCATTTTAAATCTGTGCTGTTAAAACATCTAAAAACAAAAAATATGTCTTTTCCATATTTAAGTGCATTGGCAGTAGTGTCTGCATCTAAAAATATTAGTTTAAAAAAAATCTGAAAGGTTCAGAATTTAAATTACGTCCAAAGGGGCATTTTTTTAACGTTTTGTGTGTTACCTTTATTTATTAAATAACATGGTCTTTGCACTTAAACCATAAAATTCAGTTAAATAGCAATGTCGCAAAATAATTTTAAAATTAGCATATCTTTAGAATTTCCGATACACAGTTCCGCATGCTGGAGATAAAAAGGTCCCCCTCCCCGGTAGAGTGTTGCCATCGCTCGCTTTGAAATCCTCAAGTTTGTTAATAAAAAATTCTTTAAAGTTTTACAAAATATGAAATCGATAATAAAACAAATTTCAAATTTGGTCTTCAACATGTTCGTAGGAGGATTACGTCATTCAAAATTCGATGGCTCTATGTACCGTTGTTTATCACAATGCGAGAAATATGCATATATTTATTCAGATTTTTCATTCTTCAATTTCTTCAAATATAATGCAGGACTCTAACATTTCGTGGCAGCAGTTTGAAAAGTGAAATAGAAATTTATAGTGATTCAATGCAAAATTGCAAAACGAAAACAAAAGTCCTTCCGGGACAAAGCCCCTTTGGACTAAAAATCTTAAAGTATCCAAGTCTCATCTCTAACAGTTTTTTTAGTCCAAAATATCCACTATTGTCACATTTATCTTAACTGATATTAATATAACTTAGCTCTTGTATGCAGTGGTGATTCACAGAGAGCTCGTGTGAGTCCTTTTTTAAATTTGTGTGTAATCTGCGAGCCGCCTGTTTGTTTTTTGGAGCTAAAAAGTTCTGCTACTAAATATATAGATGCCTGATAATTAACGATTTAAATTCATATGGATTTTTTTAAAGATGTTTGAAAAACTATTTAATTGCATTTTGTTCAGATGGAGCTAGTGTAATGTTAGGAAGAAAAACTGGAGTAGCAATTAAACCTCTGCATAGTATCTTAATACAGAAATACCTAATATTCCTAATTTGGCACTGCATAACTCTTTGCTCACAATTAACAAAAGAATCAAAAGAAAAATGAAATAAATCATTTTGAAATATTTCTTCAGAAATTATATGCTTTTTGTCAGCAACCCCCTCAAAATCAACGAGAATTAAATAAGATTGATAAAGCTTTAAGTGTTGAAATATTAAAATTGCCTGTGTATTTGGACCATGATAGAAAGCATGTAATCTACTAATGACTTTTCCTAAGTGGAGTAAACTGACACCTAAATTTGGAATTTTTGCTGATTGAGATTCTTCTGGAATTAAGCTTACATTATATTTTGTGATTGTTTTTTAATTTTATTAATTAATGAATCTATTTGTAACATCTTATTTATGCACAATTATTTGTGTTTTCAGTTTTTATAAAAAGTGGAACATTTTATTAGAGTTTGAAATTTTGTTTATATAGTACAAATGGTGAGCCCTTTGTTAAAATTTTCATACCTCACCATTATTCATGTTCGCAACTTTCTAACGTGTAATAATAATATAGTTGTCTGACATGTTCCACCTGTTTGGCACTGTATGGACCGGTTCAGCTGAAGAGACTCATATCAGGGAAAGGGTGGGTCGCTAGTCAAAGTTCCCCGATGCGCTAGCCATGCTACCACCCCAGGACCCCCCCCCCCCATCTGAGGCTGCAGACTTTAAAAGTTTCTCTGTGACCACTGCTACCATCTGAGCATGCAGGGTCACCATTCCTTCGTCCCAGGGATCACAGTGGCAGGGTACATGCGTGGTTGCAGATCTGTCTGGTCATCTAAAATGTTGCCCCGGTACTACGCCAAATGCCTGATGCTCACACTGGGTCTTACAGAGGGCTTACTCCAACCTACCCAGACTGAGCCAATAAAGTTTTGTCTCAAGGTAATCTCCCAGGTGGGCAAGTGAAACTGCTGGGCTCGTGATTGCGTACCCCCATGGCCGAGACTGCTTCAGTACAGATTTTGCCTGTGGCCTCAGAAGTTTTCCTGCATCGACTCCTAGGGAAGTCTAAAGTGGTAAAGCAATCAATGAGATAATTTTTATGTTCCACATGGAAAAGTTTATTTCCTTGAAATCATTATACTGCAAAATAAGGATTATATTTGAACTGATGATATTATCAAGATATGTAAAAATGTGTACATATATGCATGCAAAAATTTCCATGTATTTTTGAACATATAAAAGTGTTATCCATTTACACCAAAAATTTTGCAGTGTATTTTGTTATTTATTTTTATTTATTGTTATTCCATTTCAGTATTTATTGTTACTTATTTATTTTCATCTTTCATATTTGTGTCACATTAAGAAATTTATTTTTAAACATCTCATTGGAATCCTGTTTTATTAATATATTAAGTGATGTGTTTTAAGAAAATAATCATGTGTTGCAAATTTTTCATTGTGAGATTGATGAAACATGTTAAAAGTATTTCGGATAATAAATATTTTTGATTTGATCAAATTTGAATTAGATTTAAAATATTTTACCTGATCACAGCACATTAAAATATCCATCAATTTTGAATGAGCACTGACAGTATGGACACAATTTAGTGTTAGTGTGGTATTTTAAACCTTTATCTTTTATGTTATTAAAATTTTTTACTTTCTTTATAAACAAATGCTGATTTAACAGTTTTAGAAATATAAAAAAATGGAAGTACCGGATGGCCATAATTAAACTGACAGTGCTCACAGTGTTAGCGCGATCTATTTGCGAGAATGACCTTACATTTTGTAGGAAGATTAAACAAGACGGGGGACGAAGGATTCTGCGGAAAAAAAAATTAGTTACAAAAGTCATCGCTAGGAGAATATTTGGCGCTGTGTAATAGAAAATAGAGTGTTAACAAATGCAAATTAATATGGAATAAAACTACCTTTTATTATGGATATGCCGTACAGTACGGTACGGAAAATCTTACGAAAGATTATCAACTTCTATCCGTACAAGAGCAGTCGTGTACCGGAGTTATTGTACCCCGACCACGATAAGCGATTGACTTTTGCCAGAATGGAGGTGGATGATGCTTGGCCGTGGAAAATCTTATGGGGAGACGAGGCCCCACTTTTACCTGAATGGAACTGTGAATATCCATAACTGCCGAATTTGGGGTGACAAATCACCACATGCTGTCACAGCAATTCCCTTACATTCACCAAAGTTAACTGTTTGGTGTGGGTTCACAGCGGAATTTATCGTAGATCCATTCTTCTATGAGAACTTTACCCCGACAAAACCGGAAGCCTATTCTGTTACCGGAGAGAAATATTGCCACCTGTTGAACAGCTTTGTCATTCTGACACTTCAGCAAAGACAATGCCTGGGGGAAATCATTTTCATGCACTCCACACGTTGCTGTACAGGTGCAACAGATGCTATGACAGAAATTCACAACAGAAAGAGTCATTAGCCACTACTTTCCAACTGCATGGCCACCTCAGTCGCCTGATCTTACCCCATGCGACTTCTGGCTATGGGGTGACCTTAAGTCTATCAAGGTCTATCAAGAAGTGGTCCAGGACCAGACTACGTTGAAGGATGAACATATCAACGGACTGTACGGGAGATTCCTACAGACACGTTAGTTTCTGCTGTTGCGCATACTGTGCACAGAATGCAATATGTGGTCCACAACAACGCAGCCACATTGAAAACTCATTTGAATGCAAAATAAAGGTAATTTCTGTATTGATTTGCATTTGTTAACACTCTATTTTCTTTTACACAGCGCCAAACATTCCCCTAGCGGTGACCTTTGAAACTATTTTTTTTTTTTCGCG